AGGCCTGACTGGGTCCCCAGGGCTTTGCTGACAGCCCAGGGGCCCGACGTGGCCCCCGTCCCCCAGGCAGGTGAGCGTGAGGGTCGCACACAGAGACACATGCACCTGTGACACAGAGACACAGGGCCACACCCACCGCAGGGAGACGCACAGGCGCGTGTACACGCAGGCGTGCCCAGACACACACCCAGACACAGTGGAGACTAGCACGTGCCCGGGCACTGCCTCCTGCAGTGGGCAGGCTCCGACAGCTGCCCCTCCTCCCCGCCTCCCTGCTCGGCCTCCTGTCCCTGTCCCGCCCCTCGGCCGGGGGCCCCTGCACTCGCCCGCTTGTCATCTCAGGCCCCTGGATTCACACCCGGTCCCTCTGCAGGCCCTGCACTACCCTGGCCCTGGGCTGCAGGCGGGCCTGGAGAGGCCAGGGCAGCCCTGGTTGGAAGGTGGGGTCTCAGAGGCCAAGAAACTCTGCCTGGGCCTGGGAGGGCATCACTCCCAGGGAGGCCAGAGCAGGCCCCCCACCCAGGAGCCGCCGCACCCCTGCCAGGCTGCTGGCTCCTCTCCGGGCCTCAGTCCTCGGCTATGGGACAGAAGTGCGGACCAGAGGGGCGCAGGGACGAGACCTGCAGTTCGTGGAGCACCCACTAGGTGCCGGACACAGCCAGGGGCCAGCGAGCACCCATGTCCCAGATTCCAGACTTCTCCAAGTCCCCGCTGGAAGGCTCTAGAACTCCTGGGGTCTTCAGCCCTTGCCCCATCTCACCTGGAGCCCATCCTGGCACCTTGCCTGGCCCGTGCTGCTCACCCTCTTCCTCTGCCCCAAGCGACACCACAGGCCGAGTCCAGGAAGACCGTGAGCCCGCAGGAGCACGGCAGGAGTCGCCGGGGCTGCCTCCTGGAAGCACAGGGCCCCTGGAGCTGCAGCTGGCCAGCCAGGGCCCGGTCCCACCGCCCTCCATCACAGCACAGAGTCCTGAGACAGCACAGGCCGCTTAGTCACCCCGAGCTCCCTGCTGACAGCACAGAAGTGGCTTTGTCTCAGACGCGGGGCCATTGCTCCACCCGGCCTGGGGCCTCGGGTGTTTCCTGGCTTCCTTGCGAGGAGGACTAGCTCCTGAGGAGCCCAGCGCATCTCAGAGCACAGGCTGCCACAGGCCGGACGCCTGTCGGGCTGGGACCCTAGCTCAGGGCGACAAAAGAGGGTTTTAGGTTCGAAGCATCTGGTTAATGACTTAAGACTTGGGCAGCGAATCATTCGCTGAGTTCCAACCAGACAGGCCCCTCAGGGCCTCTTCCCGCCTCCCTGCCTGCCGAGTGCCTAGGACGGAAGTTACGAGGCAGTTGACAAGAAGGCTCTGCAGGGGCTGAGGCCCAAGGAGACCCCTGACTCTAACTAGGGGGGTCTGAGGCAGTTTTTAGAGGACGGGCCATTTTACCTGGACTTTGAAGCATGAGCAGGAGTTCGAGATCAGCTGGAGGAAACGGTGTGTGCAGAAGCCTGGAGGTGTGTTTTGAAGCAGGGAGAGGACAGGTGTGGTTTGACCCCTTCACTGGGCAGGAGGGGGAATCCCTCTTGGCCTCCCCCTGCAGACTGGACAGTGGTTGCCCTGGACACATCCTTACCTGCAGTCTTTCCTCGGAAACCTTTAGGGAAGCAGCACGCCACCCCGGGTGGCCAGGCCGGAAGCTGAAGGCAGGCAGGGCTGGCACAGGAAGCGTGGCCCCCCGGGTGGTGAGGATGAGGGCACACCCTCTGGTCCAGAGCACTGAGAGCCTGGGGAGCTCGGGCTGCGGGAGCCCGGCCTGCACACATACCGCGTCCGAGGGTGGGAACGCAGACCCGGGGGCTCGTTACCGCCCAGCCTCATCTAGTGCCAGGTGTGAATGAAATGAGCCGTGGCCGTGCGCAGGACAGGTAACCCCGCCCCACGGCCGTCCTGTGGCCCCGTCTACACGTCTGGCCCCACCACTCTCACCAACAGGACGGCCCCCTCGGGCTCCTGAACTGGCTT